AAAAAAAAAAAAAAAAAAAAAAAAGTTGTTTAACTTCAAGGCCAACCAGTAAAGTAAAAATTTATAAAAGTTCTGTTTCATATTCCAAATGGTAAAAACTAAAATAGGAAATACTATATATTAGCATGCTGGTCATTAAGTATATGGGTGAGTTTAATTTTTAAAATAATTCTTTCAATATCATGTGGGTATATATGTATTACATGAATTTTTAAAATGTAATCATTTGAGATTAAATTAAAAATTAGTATTAGACATAATCAGTATATTAGTGATAAAGAGCACACACAGGAAGTTCCCAAAGGCTTTCTAAGAATCAAGCACATTTTTAAGACTCCTTATGTGGTAACTGGGTTAGTTAGTTGTCACATGGCTATAACAAAGTACCCGGCATAAGTGAGGGCTGCAGTGTGCCATAGCAACGGAGGTGCTATCATAGCAAGAAGGCACACTGAAATGTCAGGAAACACACTGGGAAATGTGTCTGCTCAGCGGGCTTCCTCCTTCTATTCAGACAAGGCCCCACCCCATTCAGTGCAGTGTTTCCCCGTCACAGTTAACCTAGTCTGAAGACCCCTTACACACAGGCTTAGAGGCTCCAGTTCCGCTGGTAATTCGAAGTGCCACTAAGTTGACAGTCAAGACTCACCATGAAAGCTACAGTTCCATGAAAATTCTTCACAGTGAGCAATATTGTGTTAATAAAACCCATAATATCAGAATGTATGACTATTTAAAGAAAACTTTAAGGGTCTTAAATTTGTCTTGAGAAAATAAAATTTCTTGAAAAAAAACATTAGCTTATTTAATTGACAAAATGAGTATTTTACTCTCCCCATTCCCCTCCTTTGAGACTAAAACAAAACAAAGTATGGTTACGACATCCTAAGACTCTGGACAGCAATGTTCTATACAAGACATCCCAGTGCCCCACCACCCACGTGTGTCATCTTCACTACAGGGTTCAAGTTCAGTAACCAACATAAAGTTAGGAATGCTTATACTTAAACAAAATGCCTCTCATGAAAGAAAGAAACTGGAAAGGTCATCCCATGCTTTCCAATTTCCACTTATGAGTCATTAGGATTGTGATTTTCACAGGTTTTAATGCTTTGGTTCTGAAAAGTAAAAGATGAACTGTGCTGACCCAGGGCATCAGGACACACAGAGCAGACATCTTCACAAAGGATTACCTGCCACTCTTTTTCCTCTGTAATAGAGATGCCACTATTGAGGGCCCATTCTCAGGCACAGAGGGTGGTGCTTAGGCAGTCAAAGACATTTATTGGGTGTCTAAGAGGTCATGAGCAAAGCTCAGCACTGAAGATCCAGAAATAAAACAGTAGGTTATTTTATTCCCCTTAGAACATTGGATTTGAGTGAAAAAAAAATCAGTTACAAAATAGATAACTAGTGTGAAATGTATTCTATGAAATTATTCAATACGAGTCCACTTGCTTGGCTTTGGGTAAGGAAATCCCAGGAACCCTGGGAACTGATTAGTCTTAAATGATACACATCTAGGAGTTTCCAAAAGTAAACAAGAAAAAGTTGTGTTAAGGCAGAGAAAGGAAAAACTAGTGATCACAAAGGGACATTAACCGCCTTTCAGGCCTTCAGCACCACTCACATGGTTAATTCTAGATTCCAGATGGAATGGAATAGGCACCAAAATACCTTTGTACCCTTTTGTTGATTTTTCGCAACTGTTCTCATATCATCTTACCCTTTTATTAATTTTTCCCTTTCCTGTTTGATGAGAGCATTGGCCTCTGTCGATATTACTTGCCATGAGATGAGTGTATGGCTATTCTCCTTTTTAATACTGACCATTTTTCTTGCAAGCACAAAGCTCCGTGATTTGAATTTAGAAAGTGATTAATAAATAGTCTGTGTGTAAACAATAAATGACTTTGTCACTGTGAAAATGGCAAAGCTATTTCAGCCCTATCTAGTGCTTATTCTGAGGAATTGTGAAGGCTGACATGACATATTAAATACCTAATAGGTACTAATAACTACTAAGTGACTGAAAAAGAAAGATAATGAAAAAGCAGAAACATACCTACTAGGTGTTTGGACTCTGAAGTAGATCAATGAAACATTCCCCTCCTAGCTTTCTCTGAAGAGTAGAGATGAAGGATTCAGTTCACCATAATGATGTAAATCAATCTTAACTTGTACACAGAGATGAATACCCTTTACTTCTGGTTAAATGTCCTTCCTGTGCATTTAAACAAATATATACAGGGAGACACACATTTAAACAAAACAAAATTGTACGCCATGTAATCTTATAATCAACTTCCTATTCTGTGATCATTAAGTTGAATACTCATCACTTGAAGACTATGCCATGCTTACTTCATGAGCTGACTTGGGTCACTTGTACCCATTCTGGGCTAGGCACTAACAATGCTTTTAGTACTCTGAGCATTATGAACAGTGCTGTGGCTAACATGGTGTGCTTATTTTTGCACAATACTGTTGTCATCATCTTGTATGTATAAAGTATGGATAGCACTTAGAGCTTGAAGGTACACTTTAAAAGAGCTTTCCAGAAAACATACAATTATGACTCTCAAGCAGTGTATGAAAGACATTGTTTCTTCAGAGCCTTAATTAAGTTCAAGGTTCCAATGTTAGACTGCGTTTAATGTGTGATTATCTAAGAGTATTGACTTTATGATTTTTAACTCATAAATGAATGTCCTGAAATCATTTTCCACTAAAAGAGTCTAAAAATGTCTATTATTTCTCCTCATAACTTACATGATTTCATTTTTTCAGAGAGACTGTAAATTTCATCAGAAATTAATCTAGTTGTAAGTCATGGTATACAGGTATATTTTAATTTGTAAAGAATACTCCATTTTAAAAATACACTTAATGACTAACTTTTCATCATTTTATATATATAGTTCATTTTAAAAAATCTATGTTTAGATCTCATAGTACATACAGCATCTTTTTTCCTGATGGTTTAGCTTTTACTAATTATGACTATACGCTATACTTTAAAATAATGTTATACTACATATTAACAGTTTATATATTAATTTTCTCTGTATTCAAATTAAAAGAATATTTATAATAGCACAACTGAATCAATCCATCCAGGATGACTGGGAGTTTATTTTGTATTAAATCTTCCATATGTTCTTTTGTAGAGATTTTTGGTTGTTTTTGTTTTTTAGTGAAGACTCATCATACTTCCTAATTTTGTGTGTGTGCCATAATTTAAACTAACATTAGGAAAGATACATCTCAGATTATATTTACTAACTTTTGAATTATTTTCATATACATGTAGATCAAAGAAGCTATTAATGATCATATATTTGTTCTAAAAGGACATATAATATATAATATTCAATATTTTGCTAGATTAAAAATCTTAAATTGAAAAAAAAAAAAAAGTAAGCCGGGCGGTGGTGGCGCACGCCTTTAATCCCAGCACTCGGGAGGCAGAGGCAGGTGGATCTCTGTGAGTTCGAGGCCAGCCTGGGCTACCAAGTGAGTCCCAGGAAAGGCACAAAGCTACACAGAAACCCTGTCTCGAAAAACCAAAAATAAATAAATAAATAAATAAACTTAAATTGAACATAGTGATGAATGTTTGTGATCCCTATACTGTGGAGATGAAGGCAGTAGAATCAGAAACTTAAAATCATGCTGAGAGACATAGTGAATTGTAGGCATTCCTGGGATACACGGGTCCATCTCAAATAAACAAATATATACCATACATGCATACATACATACATAGATACATACATACAAACTTATTACATTGGGCTTCATTTTCAGAAAGTGTCAAGTAATGCAGAGGAACATCACCCATTATTTTAATAAAAATACTTCTAATGTCCATCATGATAGAATTTTTGTTTTGGTAATAAAAAGATGATTGCAATAGGCTAAAATAGGTCAAATATATAAAAATCTATAACTTACAATGATAATAATAAATGACAGCAACAGCAATAGTAAATCTGCATGGGCCACCTTTAGAGAGTGCTAACACACAGCTATGACATTGACAATTGGGAAGATTTATGGCTTTATTTCTTCTTTCCTAAATGAGCTATAGGTTTGAATGGCTACATATTTTAATTATAATTAAACACGGGTAATTTTACATGAGAAAATGGAACAGTATTCCTTAGACATTGTGAAAGACAGAAAGTAGGGAGAACAGAAGGAAATCACATACAAAACACCAAAGCACCGAAGAATTAGTTCTGATTTTTGATAGCACAATAGTATATTGGTTGTAATGCTATATTTAAAAAAACCCCTAAAACTATAAAACTTACCTACACATAGACACAATTAAAGATATAAATCTGCTTTTAAATCAATTTATTCATTACAAATTATTTATTTGCATCAAAGTATTATATTCTATCCCATATAGATACATAGAGTCTTAACAATAATAAAAATGGTGATGATGATGATTAAATAATTCCACTTAAAAAAAAGACCAAAGGAATGACAGAAAACTGCATCTTGCGCTACCTAATGAGATAAGGGATCTAATAAACAATTTGAATACATACTAAGAGATACAGACAAACTACTATTTGAAAGCTTTATTTCATAAGGAATCACAATGGTAGCATATGAGCTCATTGATAAATCATAGTTAATCAAGTGAGATAATGAGATATATTCCATATTCCTCATGAACTATTATGAATACTCCTGGCTTAGATGTAATATGTAACCATCACATTTCATAAAAATATCAAAAATGAAATAGTGAAATGAATAACAATGACAAACCCCAAAATTAGGAATAATGGATATCACTAGAATCTGTTAGTCAATGGCAAAAAAACAAAACAAAACAAAAACAAAAACAACAACAATAAAACTATTTGCTTCTAAGAAATTTAAAAAGTAATCAAGAGTACTACAGACCTGATTAAAAGTAGATAACTTGGAGACAATTAGGAACATTTAAGTATTGACTTGGTATTAGATGATACTAAGAAATAATATTGAATTATATCAGCTGCAGTAATGGTGCCTTGGTAATATGCAGTCAATTAAATAATCAACCAACCAATCAAACAAAAAGGCAACATTCTTATAAGAAAGACACATTATTTATATATAAGTGAAGGTCAAACAAAACACACAAGAAACACCCCAAAGGATGTTAGCAACGATTCAAATGAAGACTGAAGAAAACAGAGTTGAAGGTGGGCATTCAGAGAAGCAGGATAGAGAACTCAAGCAAGATTCCCTTGAAGACCTCTCTTCGGATCACAAATGACTACACCACTACCATAGCTAGCTGTCCAGTCCACTAATTTTCCTACTTTGGTGTTTCAAGTAAAGCATCATGGGAGTAGTGAGAGTTATGGTTTCCTTTCTTTTAGTCATTATAGCAAAAATTATAGACAACATTTTCTATCTCTAAAGCCTTGCTTAACTATAAGACCAATTGCTGTAACTTCAGACTTAAAATGTGTGCGCTCTTTTTATAAATCTGAGAAAATTAAGGAAAAATACCATTTGAGTTCAATGCTATCATAGACACATTACTCAGGAAGGGCCACTGATAAGCTGCCCTCCGCCTTCAGCAGAGCAACTGCAGACACAAGTTGTTAGCAGCAGATGGACAGCTGTACATTGAAGAGGTTGGCATACTAGGATGGAATTAGATCTTGAAATCCACTTCTTTTAGCTGTACCATGAAACTTTAGCTCCACACAAACAATTTTATTTAATGAAGTTTTAAAAAAAAAAGTCATACTAAGATGGGTGCCCGTGAAAATAGAACTTTACACATGCTATAGCCTTTATACTCACCATTTACTTGATTGGTCCAAATATTTATAGTTCATTGTTATGACTGCCAAAACTGGCAACCACGAGGATTGTTGTCTCAATTAGGACAGTAAACAGATTGTCTCTTTTTTTAATGAAAAAATCTAAAATGTAATACTTCACAGTTTCACATGTTTATTCATCCAAACGAGCTAAAAAATAATGGAGCGACATCTGTTCGAGAAACATTGGTACCTCAAATTTTGGCTGCCTCCCCACCAATTTGGTTGTTGTTTTAAAAAATGAAAAATAGGAGGGGGCACTGTCATCAAAAATCTTCTGGCATGTAAAGTAACTTATTTTTCTCGAAATAAGCATCCCATATCTGTTGCTAAGGATACAAAAATTGTGTAACAAGGCATTACTATGCAGAATGGGGATGCAGTTCAATTGTTTTCAAAGAGTCTGATCTGCTCTGACTGTTCCACAGTGGTACACTTCTTCACATGACTCTCCAACTCTCTTTGTACTTATCTATGCTATTACAACTGAAGAAAATGGTGAGAATGTTTCTGTAAGTGTCGGATTCATCTGCTACAACTTTGTTTTTACTGAAGGGTGTAGTGATTCTCGATATGGTGTCAGTGGGACACCACCTAGCTAACACCATTCTATCCAGGCTACATTGGCGTAGTGCTAATAACAGGCGGCAATGCTACTAGGGAAGAAGTAGGAAGGTCCCCCTGAGAGAAGCCTCAGGTAAGTGTAAAGAAGTGTCACTGTGGCTAAGAGCGAGAATGAAGAATCAGCTTTGGTAGTCTCTGGATCAGAAGTGTGTTACAGATTAGTACATTAAAATAGAAATATGTTTAATTTCTAAGAATTTATTCATGAAGCTTATCTAATATAAAATTCACTCCAATGATTATTATTGACTATATACTTTTAGAGCATAGAAAATTGAGTGCTTTAGTATTCACATAAACATTATAATAAAAATTTAATTTTATTTTCATCTGAAATGAATGCGTATGGTAAGTTGACATGAAATGCTAAGAATGTTTTTAAATAAATATGCATTGATTTCCTAAAAAAGACTGATGTTCCTATTTCATATTGACTTTGTATTAGTTGTTTGATTCTGCAAGAAGTTAATTATATATAATATCTAATATTATATATATATATACATACATATGTGTGTGTGTGTGTGTGTGTGTGTGTGTGTGTATAAAATCTTCCAATACACCAGTCAACCATAAATGCTAAATTCTGGGTTGATTAATATTGGCTTAGATATATTTATTAAATTCAAAAAATTTTTTAGAATCTACTATATAAACAAATCACTTTGAGGCAACTAAAATACACTAAACCAAATTCTTACATGCATTTAAATTCATGGGTAGATGTCCACACACTGGAATGACAGAAATAAGAAAACTCATATTCTCAGGATCTTACCATCATTGGTTGGAGTTAAAGTATGTCATCACTGTTTATGAAGAAGTTCTTCTTCATAAACACTTTATATTTTATACTTGCAAAACAGGCCACCCTATATTTGCACTAAAAATAGGATTTTGGGTTTTTTTTTAGAAAGAAATATTAAATGATGCTATAGTTTTACAATATTTCTCCTCAAATAAATTTAAATGATTCTTGTGTAAACTTTCATGGGAAATCATAACCTTTGCACCTCATTTGCAACTCTCCACAGGGTATACCTTAGCTCTCGGGCCTTGGTTGGAAATCTATGTCACATCACACATTAAAGGATTTCAAAGTTCTTTAAAAGTCATTATAATGTTTTCTGATTTTGTCATCCAACATTCTGAGTAGAGTAAGTTATTATGGGGAAAACAGCCATGTCTAAACTGATTCTAACCCCACAATGACAACAAATACTACCCACTAGTCCAAAGTGTAGTCCTCGGAAACAGTAGGGAGCTAACATCTTTCTGTCTTGAAATATTCAAACTAGACATTCAGCCTGGTGTCTTTGTTCATGAGATTGGCTGTTTCCTGTTCATGTAAATTAAAGAAATTTGCATTTTATTATATGAAATAGTATTATGTAAAAATATTATCATCTTGCTTACCTGTTATTTACTGAAATCAAAGCTTTTAGCCTGGGATTTGTTTTCTGGGAATGTCATAATCAACCAACTACATAAACGGATGCAGGACATGCAGAAATTCAGGTGGTGAAACTTGCTTATTATTACAGTACATTTCAACTGATATTTATTATTATAGAAACAACATTTTCTCTCCAAAGCACATCTCATGAATAGAACAGAATGGTGAAGTTTTGTCAGAACAGCCCCTTGTCAAACATTTCCAGGAGGCGCACATTATTTTTGAATACTGTGAACTGTGCTACTACTATCTAACCTGGATAGGTATCTGATAAGCAATTATTACATATTCTCTCACTTCAATTACACTGAAAACAAGAAATAAGCTTTATTGGATGTGACTGTTTTTAACACCATATGGGAGGGAAATAACTAAATGAAAATTGCTCACGTAAATGTGATGAGACTGGAAGAAAGCAGTATTTCTTGACATGTGGCATGTCACTCAGGAAAGTAAAAGGCCCATCAAATCCAAAATGCCAGCTTGGATATTCCCTTGCCTCCCACTTTGCGAACAGATATACCACATGGCATAAAATGCTGCAACCTTTCCTACAAATGCCACTTGGATGGGTCCTCTGTGATGAGTATACAAAACTCTTCCTCTGTCTCTTGAGTCTGGGAATTCAAGAGGAAAGATCCAGCAAAGAACACTGGCTACATTTTGCCCTCAGATGTTTGGCAAAAAATAATCTGTGAGGATCCTGGGACCTTTGGCTGTTAACACAGATGAAATGAATTACGCTACTTCAAAGACTCGACAGAACAAATGCTACACTGGCATCCTCAAAAGAACCAAAGAATATCTGTTCTTTTAGAACCTGTGCTATAAAGCAGAGGAACTCCTAGAGTAGTGATTAGAGTTGCTGTCTCTTGGCAAGTAAGGAAATGTTCCTAGAATTGTATTTGTTTTTCAGAAAGTCAACATACACTCCAAAACTCTGCATATATTTTAAGATAGCCATTTTCTATACATCTTTATATCAGATGGGAGTGAATATTAATTCTGTGGATATATGTGTGTGTGTGTATACCGCAGAACTTTCTAAGCTTTATGTGTTCATGTGTTTCAGAATTCTATTAAAACTCTGATTGCCATAAAAGTATTGAATAGTCTTTATGCTATAACACAAAATATATTGACAAATTTTACAGAAAAGTACAGATGAAAGTAACATGTAATATATATTTTTCTATTATTTATTTTTCTTTACAGCATAGGAATTAATTCTAAAGAGACAAAATGTAAGTTTAAAAAAATGCCTTTGTAATGCTTAGATTTAAGAGACATCCCAATAAAATGATTCTGTGTAGGTACACCCCTGCTAATTCTGTAGTGTGAGAAACCTGTGCAATTAAATGGCAGATTGTTACATAGCTCCCTAACAAGAGGGGCAAACTGATACTGCAGGCAGCCAGAACAACATAATTAATATAGAATTCCAGTGTTATATTAATGGAGTAATAAGTTAATTAAAATCAAGATTAACTGAACTTTCTATTTACACCAGTTCAGGCAGCCCAAGAGGAAAGGAAGTCGATCTTAGGGACATATGTGACTCTTTGAGCTTCTGTCATCCAGGTGCCATTTGTGACGCAGCACATGTGCACTAACAGTTGGCAAGGAAGGAAAAGACTCCTGCGGATGTATGTGCAGAGAGTCTCCCTAATGATATAAAATATGTCTGGAAAGAAAGCACACTTCTTTGTAAAATAAAAATTTCCCATGACTTTCTGTTCATTCTTCGGTTCTGAATATAATTTTGAGTATGCTTCTGCAAATGACAATGGACACTTTTCTTACAATATACATAAGATAAAATAGATTTAGTTATGTGTAACTGGTTGAGTTATACATGTAAATTGGGAAGACATTTGAAAACTGTGTTATCCAACTACAGCATGAATAGAGGATCTGCCAGAGCAGAAAGATTTACAAAGTATTGAGTAACATGCGTGACTCTAGATTGCTAGGTAAGTTCTCCAGATATCTTATGCCACTAGGTACAAAGATATTTCTGCAAACTGACAGTACCAAGAAGAAAATATTCAAAATGTTCTAGTTTGGGAAACTGGCAAAGTATTTGTCCCCAAGGATGCTCTTATCAGAATTATTTCCTTTCCTTTATTGATTGTTGTTCCGCTAATCTTCATCTGGGTCCAGATCAGAGTCACTATTTGTGGACAGCCGGAGATAAAAGAAAGCATAGAAAGCCAGTAGGAGGGCCAGGATTGCTGCAAGCATGAGGCCGACTTCCTGGGGAGGAGAAAACAGTAGACTTGAGCTGATGAAGAGAGACTAGCTTTATCACATACAATAACAATATCACTCCATGGCACAGGATAAATAATGTCAACTCAATTATTATTAATATGCAATCTATTTTTCATAAGACAATACATATTGCAAGAGCAAGTACATGCGTGGGTGAGGCATTTCTATTAAGATTTTTCTGGTGGTAAAATTTAAATTTATTGTTTTAATATATTTCTTAATTTTGTCATCAAAAATTTAAGTGCAATCAATGTAGTTTGTGCATATATAATTAAACTGGTCTCTAATTGAGCTCATGTAACTATTTTTTAAGTATTATATTATTTATTAGTGATAGGATTTACCAGAAGATATTTTTACAAATTATTACTCTATTTTCTATTGGGAAGAAATGCCCCAATAATTGATTCCAGGAAATAGATCCTATACAAACATAAGCTTCACACTCATTTTATTGAGATTATAATAGAATTACTAAATGTTGCTCTTTCCTTCCTGCTCCCAAACCTTTCCATATGTCTCTTCCTGTTCTCCTTCCAATTCATGGAGCCTTTTCCACTAATTGTTATTGAGCTTGGTTTCCTTTTTCTTTTCTCTGTTTCCTTCTGTCTCTTCCGTTTTGAGTCAAGTTGGCCTGTAATGTGTTATATGGCTAAGTCTGGCTTCCAGCTCCCTCACTTCCCACTTTAGTCTCCTGCCGGAGGGATGGGATTACAGGTTTGTGCCAACATGCCTGGCTACGCATTCTACTGTTTAGAACTCTAAACTCAGTAACTTACACAGTGGGGTACAAAAGTGAACTCTGAGTTCATAAGGTATAAGCTAGTGTAACTCCTCTTGGCTCTGAAAGACAGGGATTATATTGTACCTTTGGTATTTTGATGTTGATTATATCAATCATTTATATTAAGTAATGGGTAAAATTTAACATATGATAAAACTACATTTTCCTTCAAAAATATCAGTGTGTGTCTGTGTTGCAAAATATCTTTCTCAATATTAATATGCTATTTTACTGCACTGGCAAAAGAACAGAGTCCAGTTCAGGATCCAAAATGCTCTAAAATACACTGCTGATTTCACTTTGGTATTATATTCCTTACCTGGCATTGTTTCTTGGGGAAGCAATTCATTTGCATTTGTATGAATATATTTCACATTTCATATGAATGTAAAATAAATAATTCAACATGTGCCACCTATTAAACTTTTAAAAAAATTAAAATGAATTTGATATATAATCAACATGAAATTTCAGGTGAATGTTGAAAATACAAACACATTATGTACAGATTTGCAGTTTCTTGATTACATTTATTTAGATATTCAAACTATGGAAATAAATATTGATAGAAACTACAGGGTGAAAAACTGTGTCAATAATTTTTGTGGGATTTGATTTTTAAAATCCAATATATCAATGTAATGTCAAGTGAAAGTGAAATTTTCTTTGTTACAGCTGGAACACTTTGGCATCTCCAAAGGGCATGGCAGCATCAGACAGGTTTCATTTATTTTCTCCCAGCCACAGCTGTGCTCCCAGGCCCATCTGGTTAAACGGCTACTAATTTTAAGAGGATGTAATAAACAAGCGACACAACCACCAACTCCATCTGCTTTGTAGAGTGGACAACACAACTGATCAACAGCAGGCATCACTTCCAGAAGCTCAATGAGAGAATGAAATTTGTATTCTGGTTCAAGGCTGTTTCTCATCTTACTGATGACCACTCTTAATTGCTGTTTTTCTATTCACTATCCTTACAATGACCTGTCATTCCCTCATTAAATGCATTCAGGATATTCCGAGGTATTAAGAAGAATGTTAAGGGTAGAAAGTTGAGATTTTGCATAGAAAAACCCCTGTACTTCAATGCTGTCTGGTCAGTGTATGGCATGCAAATGACTTTAAATCACTGAAAGCGATGTCACAAACACTTTTCTTCAAAATGCCTTTTGGTGAAGGCAAACACCGTGGAAGATGACTGTTGTGAAGTTTCATGCCATGATCAAATCTCAAAATTAAGCTTTCAGGGTGCCAGAGGCTGTGCCCATAACCTTAGACACCTGTAGGCATATGACGCCCTTTCCATGATTTGGCTGCTGTTCAGATTTAAACCAGAAATAACAAAAAGAACAAACAACATTTCAAGCTGTTCATCCCAAAGGGATGCTGGCAGGATCTGCTTGACACTGAATATTTTATTGATGTGGAGAAGCTAAGTTTTCTATTCTTATTCTTTGTGATGACTATGTTTTTCTAATAGACCTTTAAAATAAGCAAATGTAAATTTGTTTCCTTCTACATGTCAGGGAACACAGGTATCTGCATTCTATGAGAATTTTAGTGATATGTACAACAAATTGTGTCTCTGCATCTGTATGTTTCACATGCTTTTTTTTTTTTTACTCTTTTTCTTCTGCTTGTTTGTTTTGTCTTATTCCAGTTTGTTTGTTTAGTTTTGTTTATCTTATTTTACTTTATTATTATTCTTTAGAAGCCTGTTTGGTTTCTAGAGAGAGACTAAAAGGGTGTGGATTTGGATGGGAGGGAAGGTGGGAGAGGATCTTGGGGGAGTTGGAGGAGGGAAAACCATAATCAGACTATAGTGTATAAAAATTATTTTCCAAAAAAGAAAAATAAACTAATTTTACTTTTAAGCTGAAACCATTCATCATTCCTCCAAAACATTCTCTATAACTCAATTGTATGTTTAGAACAAGGTGCCAGAAGCCTTAAATGGCAAATGCCTACTTCTCAACTGGTCATCTTAAGGCTCAGTGCACTTGGTTTAATATGGTAATTCAATGTGGGGGTGATTTCCAGTACACTCTTTACAAGACAATCACATTTTACTCATCTCTTTAGAGATTCTATAATATTGCAATAGCTTATAGTGATTTGTAAGTAAAATTGGATCAAGTAATACCAATATAACTTTCGTAGTAAGCATATTAAAAGTATGTGATGTTTTAAGGAGTTTAAATCACTAATGCTTGTAATATTAACCCCACAGCAAATCCAAGAGCACTTTGTATCATAATGGCTACACAATGCAAAGACAGTCAAAGTAAGGAAGGCCCTGACAAATATTCATGGGTCTTATTTATACAAACTAGCCACAGCTGATTTGGGGTTTTCCCTATCACTTAATAGTCACAGATGCCTGAGATGTGGTAAGTTCAATCCTGTCTACTCTTTAGCTCTGCTGACAGCTCTGAGGTGAAGGACACAGTCTCCAACTACAAATACAGCTTCTTAGATTTAGTCAGATCACTCATGCCAACAGTGAGGGTCACAAGGATGTGATCTCAGGCCTTCCATGACATACTTAGTTTTGTGGTCATTGGTGTCTTTTTATATTCCATGCACCTGTTCATATTTCCTGTAGATTCATATTATTTGAAGATTATTTGAAGAGTATAACTTTGACTCATTCAAAAGTAGTAAAGTAGTAACATAATATGACATTATGGTCATCCTGTATCAAATAGATAAGAGTCAAACATGTTTGATGTTCATTAGTTCTCAGTTGCTTCTCTGACATTATCAATATGGATAAAATCACTCACCAGGGAAATTAAAAAGCATTAAAAGACAATTGCTGAAGGAAACTCTGTTATTTAAAATCATATGGCAAAATGACAAGGCAATCAAAGTCTGACAGGGCAAACTAATTAGTATGCTAGACTTAAAATGTAAGACACCTTCATGGTTCTGATCCTTAAAAATTTCATATAATGGTAATGGCCTCTGAACACACAGTTTTATGAAAAGAAAATAGTAGTTAAAGTCTTTGTTTCTCAAGGCTCACCAATCAGAATGATATGCTAGATTATTAAAATAGATCTATATTCTAATGTTAGACACTCTTCAGTGTATAGTTTTATTGTAAAAAAAAAAAGCTAAGAAAAAGTAATTCTTCACAGTTTTTAAAACAGATATTAGTTAATAGCACTGTACACTACTTTAACTTATAATCAGAACACAGTTATTTCCTCAAAGCAAAACCAAAATTGTAACAGCAAATTAAATAAGGGGTATGCATAAAAATGTAGTATATAAATACATGAAAGACTGCATTATTTCAATAATCTTAATATATAACTATTCATTAAACTATGCTAGAAATATATTTTGTTACACTAATATTTACTTTATAAATCCCTAGTATGTTGTGAAACATAAAGGCAAATATTAACTGTTTCCTTGGAGGACAATATTAAAACTGCTCCTATGATAAGAGTCAATCACCAGGTGGCCAAACAGAAAATGAAAGCTAAGCATTGCTTTTTAGAAACCCCATGCCATATAATGTCTTTTACAAGAATTACATGAATGCAATCGCATGTAAAGTATAAAAAACTAAAAAGATAAATCACTCTTTTTAATTAAATTAAAAAAAAAAACAAACGTTTTTTCATTAATACCTGCCAGAAACACTAACTGAGGAGACTGTGTTGTGAAAACAGCACACCACACAGTAAAGCTTGATCAAAATCAGCAATCAGAGGCAAAAGGCAGGCAGTGTTCATGATCATAATAGCAAGTTCTGGAAGATAACCAAATATATCATCTGGCAGTTCAACAGCTGTTACAGCTTGCTGGTAATACCTTGGCATTTGTTATAAGCTATAACTTTGAAAAATTGATTTTTTATCTGCCAGATGAAACCCAAATCTTCTTTTAGCAGTTTAATATTTACATAAAATATTTGTATTGGTCATTTTTAATTTACACACTAATAGTATTAGTTCTAAATGGATTATCCTACCTAGTTTCCTTCATTCTAAATATCTGGTGAACATTTGACATGAACAACACTAAAATCATTTTGGTTTTGTTAGCACACTGGACTACTATCCATTGCCATCATTCACAGTACACTTCTCTCTCTGAAGCAGATAAACACTGGGTGGCCTAAAGGACAAGTCTGAGGATAGCATCAGAATTTCACTATACAGACTTCCAGAGACAACAAAAAGATGGTTGTATTACAACTATGTATACAACTCTATCATGAAATTCAATGAGTCAAAGGATCTGACTAACCCACATACATGGTTGAAATGTTTGAACAATAGTTATAATAGCTAGAACAGTAGTTTTAGAAGAAACTTGTTTTCTGTGTACTGTATATACTATATACTTTAATTGTAACTTTTGAGTCCTCAAAATTTCAAGATAGAAATGATGTTTTCCAATAAGTAAATTATTTTACAAAACCTCTACTTTTGATACGTTATTGAGATTGAACTAGCTTAAGATGTTCAAAATTCAACTGTTGCACAATTCAGTTGTGTAAAATGAACTGACATACATAATACATCACATTATAACTTGATCAAATGGAAGTATACCTTCATGCCTAGTGCTGTTTTCTTTGCTTCTGCTTTTAATTTGGTTGCTCGTAAAATAGGTTTGGTTTTTTTATAATCCTGTTTACCTAGAAAGAAACAGTTTCAGACAATGAGTTATGTTTTTGTATAATTCAAATTTCACAATCACCTATAAAATGTCAAAGAATGTTTACAAAAATTAAAATGTGGACAGAGAACTGTGTGGATACTCACAGGTGAGACTAACATACACGTCACTCAAAGACTGATACCTTTTGACTTCAGAAGAAGAGTCTGACGGACATCTTGATTTGATGCACAGGATGTCAAAACAAAATTATAACTTTTATTTTTTAGAGAATAATATATTCACAGTAAGTGTTTCCTTTGAAATAAAGGCACTAACAAATGAATATATATAATTATATATGTATATATAATTATAAAATCATATATAATCAATTACTAAATTGCTTTAGCAATTAAAAATAACTCCCGTTAAATTTATAATATTGTGAATGCATTAACTATTCAAATGATTAATTTAAGAAATATTCGGTCATTTTTCTCTAAGACTAAAAGAGGAATCTATAAGCAATTGACTTTTAACTCCCTAAATTCATTAAAACAAAGTATGTCTAACTCCATTCCTTTCGCCAGAGGACAGAACAGACATGACTAATATGACAGAGGATAGTGACATTTAGATATGACACTCAATCTTCTTCACCACATTTCACAGCCAAAAAGAAGCAACATTGAGTTCATGTCACAAAATTTCTGGTTTTGGTGTACCATCTGGTGACCCCACTGACAAGCTACAAACGAAGCAGTGCTCAGCCTCAGGAAAAAAAAATAGTAGATTTCACAACAAAAGGATTACTAAGAAAAATATGTATTTAAAAAAATTCTCTTAAAGGAAACAAGTGGCTGTAGTTTTAAGTACAAAAGTATAACATACTTTTCTGAGCAGCAGTTAACAGGACAGTATAGCATAGTTCATATCCTCACTCTGCTCCCTGACTCACACCTTTCCTCCCAGAGGTCAGTTTCCAGAGCTTATCCACACAGTTACCTTATATAAATGATACAATGTTTCACTCCAAATTTCCACATCCTAGTCATACTCAAATAAATCTGAAAGCAGTTGATTTAAACTAAAATATGTCATAAAAAATTAATGTGAAATACATCTGCTTCATAATGTATCTGCTAATGATTCAAAAGTACCTTTTAACTTTTATATAGATTTTTAGAAATAGAAATGGCAGAGAAGTGAGGTAAATGGATAGTAGTGATGGAGAAGTGCTCCCGTGGAGTTCATTAGACACATCCAAGTGTTTCTCTGGCTGAGGGGCTGTGTGTTAGTTCTTAAAAAGAGACTGTTTTCACACTGGTGCAGGGTAGTCACTCTCATCTACCCACAGAAGATTAATAAGTGTTATTTGTTGATGAGATTTAATGATGCAGAAAAGAGTCAATTATTAAAAAAATGGATATCAAATGTTCTAAATTTAAATAAATAATTAGCAGAAAAACATGACTCTGACCCACTTTAAATTAGTAACATTTAATTTTGCTGAAAAAAAAAAAAACAAGGAAAACACTTGACAAGGGTTCCTTCTGATTTCACATCTCAATGGTCAAGTGATTCTTACATTAGTCTCACTGTGATATGAATGGCTGGGAAGAATGAAAATGGCGACACAATGTCTCCACTCAGGGCTACCGAGCACATTTCTAATGAAAATCCGAAAATAAATGTCAGGATCACAGATACCAGCAGAAAGAAAACACTCTCATTCACTGCCTTATAAGAATCTTAAGGGAAATGGAGAAAAGTTAAGTATGAATGATGATTTTAAACATGATTAATGAGTAATTTTCATTCTTTTATATAATGCTCCATCATAACATAACTAGACAGGTATTGGAGTCAATGTGACAGTAAGAATTTGCCACTCAACTTGTGGTGCCATAAACCATTAGTTAAGTAACCCTTTCCACCTAGAGTCTTTTAGAGAACAAACCTCCATTATCACTGAGGTGGATACAAATTTCTAAAAGTGTACTTAAAATGGATGTTATTAAAATTAGTATGCATCTGGCACATTTCCAAACAACACATCTGGCATCAATTTCCCATTCCCCTTCTGGTCCATGACATGTAATAACATACACTGTACAATGCATTTTACAGTGAGAGTACTCACAGGCCATCCACTAAGTTCTTGAAACTCAAACTCTATCTTTCTATCATGGCCAGAGAAACTTTTTTTTTTCATTCTTTTTGTTATTAAGAGATTTTCTATTCATTTTACAAACCAACTACAGATTCCCCTCTCCTCCCTCCTCCTGCCCTCCTAGCCTCCCCCTCCCCAAGCCACCCCCATTCCCATCTCCTCCAAGGCAAGGTCTCCCCTGGGGAGTCAGCAGAGCCTGATACATTCAGTTAAGTCAGGTCCAAGCCCCCTCCCTGCACCAAGCTGCAAAATTGTCCCACCATAGGCAATAGGCACCAAAAAGCCGGCTCATGCACCAGGACCAGGTCCCAATCCCACTGCCTGGGGGACCCCTAAACAGTTCAAACTAAACAACTGTCTCACTTATCCAGAGGGCTTAGTCTAGTATCATGGGGGCTCCTCATCGATTGGTCCATAGTTCATGCATTTTTACTAGTTTGCTTGGTCATTTCTGTACATTTTCCCATCTCAATGTCCCTTGCTCATGGAATCCCTCCTCTCTCTCATCATCTGGACTCCTGGAGCTTGGACTGGCACCTGGCTGTGGATCACTGCATCTGCTTCCATCAGTCACTGGATGAGGGTTCTATGATGACAGTTGGGGTATTCAGCCATCTGATCACCAGAGTTGGCCAATTCAGGCACCCTCTAGACTATTGCCAGTAGTCTAAGATGGGGTCATCTTTGTGGATTCCTGGGAACTTCCCTAGCACTCTGTTTCTCCTATTCCCATGATGTCTTCATTTATCATGGTATCTCTATCCTTGCTCTCCTACTCTAACTCTGTTCCAGCTTGAACCTCCTGTTCCTCTATCTTCTGACCCCCATACCTTGCCCTCCATTAACCCTCCTCACCCCCGGTTTGCTCATGTAAATCTCATCTGTTTCTTCTTCCCTGGGCTATCCATGTGTCCTTCCGAGGGTCCTCCCGGCTAGCTAGCCTCCCTGGAGCTGTGGGTTGCAGTCTGGTTATCCTTTGCTTTACATCTAGTATCCACTTATGAGTGAATACATACCACGTTTATCCTTCTGAGTCTGGATTACCTCACTCAAGATGGTATTCTTCTAGTGTCATCTATTTGCCTGCAAACCTCATGATATCATTGTTTTTCTCTGCTGAGTAGTACTCCATTGTGTATATATGCCACATTTTCTTTTTTCTTTTCTTTTTCTTTTTGGTTTTTCGAGACAGGGTTTCTCTGTGTAGCTTTGTGCCTTTCCTGGATCTCGCTCTGTAGACCAGGCTGGCCTCAAACTCAGAGAGATCTGTCTGCCTCTGCCTCCTGAGTGCTGGGATTAAAGGTGTGCACAACCACCGCCCGGCAATGCCACATTTTCTTAATCCATTCTTCAGTTGAGGAGCATCTAGGTTGTTTCCAGGTTCTGGCTATTATAAATAATGCTGCTATGAACATAGTTGAACATGTGTCCTTGTGACATGATTAAGCATTCCTTGGGTATATGCACAAGAGTTTTATACCTTGGTCTTGAGGAAGATGGATTCACAATTTTCTGACAAACTGTCATACTGATTTCCAAAGTGATTGTGCAAGTTTGCACTCCCAACAGTGGAGGAGTGTTCCCCTTGCTCCACATTCTCTCCAACATAAGCTTTCTTCAGTGTTTTTGATCTTAGCCATTCTGACAGGTGTAAGAAGGTATCTCAGAATTATTTGCATTTTCCTGATGACGAAGGATGTTGAACAATTCCTTAAATGTCTCTCAGCCATTTCAGATTCTTTTGTTTTGAATTCTCTGTTTAGCTCTGTGGCCCATTTTTTAAATTGGATTCTTTGGTATTTGTTGGTGTGGGGTTATCTATTGTCTATGTTTTCATGAGGGTATTTAACTTCCTTAGGTTGGATTTTCCCTTCTAGTGCTTTCTGTAGGGCTGGATTTGTGGCTAGGTATTGTTTAAATCTGATTTTATCATGGAATATTTTGTTTACTCCATCTATGTCGATTTAGAGTTTTGCTGGATATAATAGTCTGAGTTGGCATCTATGGTCTCTTTGTGTCTACATTTCATCTGTCCAGGAACTTCTAGCCTTTAAAGTCTTCATTGAGAAGTCAAGTGTTATTCTGATGGGTCTGCCTTTATATGTTACTTGGCCTTTTTTCCTTTGCAGCTCTTAATATTTTTTCTTTATTCTGTATGTTTAGTGATTTGATTATTATGTGGTGAGGGGACTTTTTTTTTGGGGGGGGAGAATCCAATCTATTTGGTGCTCTCTAAGCTTCTTGTATCTTCATAAGCATTTCCTTTTTAGGTTGGGAAGTTTTCTTCTATGATTTTACTGAATATATTTTCTGTGCCTTTGAGTTGGTATTCTTCTCCTTCTATCCCTATTATTCTTAGGTTTGGTCTTTCATAGTGTCCCAAATTTCCTGGACGTTTTGTGTTATGACTTTTTTGGCTTTAGTGTTTTCTTTGACTGATGAATCTATTTCCTCTATCGTATCTTCAACACCAGAGATTCCCTTTTCCATCTCTTGCATTCTGTTGGTTATGCTTCCAGCTGTAGTTCCTGATTGTTTACTCAGATTTTCCATTTCCAGCATTCCCTCAGTTTGTGTCTTCTTTATTGTCTCTATTTCAGTTTTCAAATCTTAGATTCTTTCCTTCACCTGTTTAATTGCTTTTTCTTGACTTTCTTTAAGGGATTTATTGATTTCTTCCAATTTTTTGTCTTTATCTCAATTTCTTTATTGATTTCTTCCAATTTTTTTGTTTGTCTTTTCTTCTATTTCTTTAAGGGAATTGTCCATTTCTTCTTTAAAGGCCTCTATCATCTTCTTAAAGTCATTTTTAAGGTTGATTTCTTCTGCTTCTTCTGCGTTGGATGTTCAGGTCTTGCTGATAT